CTACAGGCTCCCTCCATAAGTATACTATAACATACCCGAATCCGTATTCTAAGTGTTGAGGCCTCCATGTTCAGCCCCTTATACCCAGACCTTCCAAAAGCACGTAATTCAGGACTAAGTATGTTTTGGTTCCTACTATACCTTAAGGTATATGCCTTAATTAAAGGATTCTTGAGGATCTGGGTACCTACCTGATATCTTCCGGGCTGTGACATGCACGTGGCTCTGGGCGCTTAGCACTTAAACTCCATCGAGAGACCATCTGAAAATGTAGACAGCTTACTGTATCCCGGTGGCACTTTGGGAAACATTATCATTTTCCCTTATGGTTCCTATAGAGGCATTGATGCATAGATACTTTTGAGGGTCCCAAATTTATAACCCAGTCATTGAAATTTCATTATTCGTCATCGAAATATATCACACTGCGCCGCACACACCATACCTTATTAGCAAACCCCTACCCCATCACAGTGTGCATACATTGGGTGCTTACTGAAAAGGGATACGAACCAGAGGTCTGCAGTAGATTTCATCATTCTCGGTGCATGAAGCTTTGAACTACCCAGATCTTCCAACCTCCGAAAATTAAGGAATATACGTTACACCATAGCAGGATCCAGAATATGATTTAAGGTTTGTAGTGTTCCATTAAGGGATTTTGGAAGATCTGGGTATGAGTGCTAAGCTCTCGAGCCTTCTGAACCCTCGAACCCGAAACCTGTGAAGCTATGTGGATCCGGCAGCGTAGTGTTTTACCACGGGTTCTACGCAAGCTTTACGCTTGAGCCTTTATGCCCTTAAAGTGTTACAGTCATAGCTTACCTTGTCTTATTGTTGCGGCCATGGGATATCCCGAAACCCAATGCCCGCATCCGTTAACATCCCGGCCATGGGATATCCCGAAACCCAATGCCCGCATCCGTTAACATCCCATACCCTGATGAATGAAGCTCAACTAAGAAAATCACCCCACAGCATCTCAGGAACAACTTCCGCGGGTTTTGGTTGAAGGAGCGCGGAGAGGGGCTATTCCTGTGGACGTGGTGCCTGTGGATTGAGGGTAGTTCGCGGATCTGGGTAGGATTTGGGGTTTAGGGTTGAGGGTTGACCTTGAAAGCACGTTATAGTAACACTGAGTGGCTCGGGGCACAACGCGAAAACATTTCTTAATCTGAATTCGCAACAAGCAGCACCTCTCAAAAAGCAACAAACCCTAAGCCTAGAACCTCAAATCAATGAGAATCCCCAATCACGGTTTAGGGTTTAGGGTTTAGGGTTTAGGGTAATCAACCTGAACCCTAAATTTCATCACCAAATTTCCGAAGCCGCGGGACATCCGCGAGAACCTCAAAACCTTTAGCCGTAAACGGCTCGAAAACCAAAGGCACGCACAATAATCGCTGAAGCGTACTAAACCTAAGCCCCAAGCCCTATAACCTAGAACCCCGAACCCTCAGACTTAATCCCCAAACCCCAAGACCTAAACTTTGGCACCCCAGGCCCAAAACCCTTTACTAAAACCATCTAAAGCCTATTCTCTAAGTCTGCAACCCTAAAACCAAAAAAAGTTCAAAAGAATAATATATTATGGCTTTCGGGCTCAAAGACCATCCTATATAAGGCTGTTGGGATATTTTGATCCCTAGGGAAACCCAACCCGAACCCTAAACCCTAAACCCTAAACTCTAAACCCTAAACCCTAAACCCTAAACCTTAAACCGAACCGAAGCCGCAGGACATCCAGCACATCGCCGAGCAGAGCATGGAAGCTTTAGGCTTCCTTCATTCGCGGCTGCAGGTCGGCTTCAAGACAATCTTAGGGGTACTTGGAACTATTTCTTGGATTTTTGGTTATTATAATCCCTAAGGGGGTACTTAGAAATATCTTTTTGGATTTTTGGCTATGATAATCCCTAAGAAACAGCTAAGGTTCTAAGTTTTGCTAGGGTTCTAAGTTCAGTATAGCAATCACGTCAGGGTTTAGGGCTACGGTTTTCGGACCTTCGGATGTCGGATGTCGATCTTTAGAGTTCAGAGCCCTAAACCCCTAAACCCCTAAACCCTAAACCCTAAACCCTAAGCCCTAAACCCTAAACCCCTAAACCCTAAACCCCTAAACCCTAAACCCTAAACCCTAAACCCTAAAACCTTCAGGATTCGGGGTGAAGGACGGAGGGCTTTAGGTTTCCTTCCGTCGCGCCGGGAGGAGGAGGTCGGAGGCCGGGAATCAGTCTTAAGGTCAATTACCCAAAGCCCCAAGGGTCCAAAGGACCCAATACAGGGAACTCCAGAAAGTTGGAATATGGTTTCATGGTAGGATCCCCTATAATTTACCATAGCAGGGTTACGATAATCATATTCCAACTTTCTGGCTTCTACTGTAATTAGGTACTCGGTTGTAGGACAGTAGTTACAGGGTTTTTGGTGCGTTCTTGTAGGGTCTTTGTATCCAACCCCTCGGGGAGGATCTCGAAAGTAGAACCCCTGTCGTCATAGTCGTCGTGGTGCTCTGTGAGGAAAGCCTGAACATGTAGCCGCACAGCATTCGGACAGGTTTAGGGCTGTTTAGCGTTAGTTACAATGGAACCCTAAACCCCTAAACCCTTTCAAGGAGCCCCTTAAACTTATAGCATAATGGAACCCTGAAGCCCTAAACCCGTGAATCCTTCTAAGGAGCTCCTTAAAGGAGCCCCTTGGTTCACAGTGGAGTACAAGTCCTTGAATGTGATGGCGTTGGCAGCGCAGCAACGTCGAGATATCCACGGATATCTGCGAGAGTTTCAGACGGCTAAGGACCCTCGTGGCTGATCGAAACGAAAAACAACTGATCAGAATTGCCTGAACAAGGACACGCTGTACCAAAACTACTTGCCTCCTTGTGGACTTTTATGTGTTCGCCAGAAGATGCGCCTCGCCGTTTGCTTTAAACGCAGCTTTCTTGACAACTTGGGGGCGGCATAAGATGCAGCAGCTCCCGTGCTGAAAACTAAACGGCTGTCATTGCGTTTAGGGTTTAGGGTTGATTGGTTTCGAGTCAGAGTCAGCAGGATGGCTAAGTTAAAGGAGGCCCCCCCCCCCGAACGTTTCAGTCATGAGCGGACGTCGTAGTGCCTTCTTGCGTATCTGCGCGAGCAGCCGGGAATCCGAAATCCTGTAAATAAACCCAAGCAGGACGTTGTCCGTCCGACACGGGGTCTGGATTGTGCTTGGAGGGTCGGTGGACTTATAGTAAGCAGGTTAGAAGTAGACTAATAACTGCCTTCAAAGGGATCCTAGTTGGGGATATGTACTTATAACAAGTCTCTAAAATATTTACCCAGAGAGCCCAAGACCCCTTAATGACGGAATATGGCTCAAATTTTATAGGGCTTTATATTATGAGTTAAGCGATATTCCTGAGTTAAGAGGCTTTGGGCTCCCTGGGTGCTTGCTAAGTCCCGCCGGTGACCCGGAGGACCCAGAGGACCCAGAGGACCCCAGAGGCGTACAGCGGTGAAACGATCCCCAACCCTTGGCACAAGATGTGGGTGCTTGTCAAACTTATGGGTCCCTTTTGGGTACCCTAAATAATGGGTGCCGTACTAAAATAGGGACCCAAAACCGGACCATAATTTTGATAACTACCCATGTGAAATTTCAAAAACCAAGCCCACAACCTAAGCCAGCCAAATCTTAAACCCGCAGCCCTACATTTACGAAACCCTCTAAACCTGGGCCATAAACCCTAAACTCAAAGGGGAAAAGGAGGGACCCGTAATAAGGACCCCTAGGTATATACCCTGAATATAGCTATTAATATAGCCCATTATATCGTAGGGGTCCCCATTAAGGGTCCCTCCTTTTCGCCTGTGATAAACTTCTGCAGCCCGAAGCCCTAAACCATCCTAAACCCCTGAACAATAAGCCGTGCATTCAAAGAACAAGACCTAGGATGCCCAGTAGTACCCTTATTCCCTTTTTGAAGTCCTAGGTTCCTTTTCAAGTTACCCAATACCAAGAAGAGAGGCCTTTGCATTCTTAGGTTACTGGGTACCCTACCCTAAACCCTAAACCCTAACCCCTAAACCCCAAACCCTAAACCCTAAACCCCAAACCCCTAACCCCCAGGGTATCCTAGTACCTATCCGACGCCTAGCGTAGAGACACAAAGCAGCGAACGACGAATCCTTGCGAAGATGAGTACCCTAACCTCCCCCCTTTATAGAATCCTCATAGATCCCTTGAAAGGAGCCCTTATTCTAGAACCCTTATAGATCCCTTTAAAGGAACCCCAAGCCCCCTTCATCTTTAAGTAAACGACGAATCCTTGCGAAGATGAGTACCCTAACCTCCCCCCTTTATAGAATCCTCATAGATCCCTTTAAAGGAGCCCTTATTCTAGAACCCTTATAGATCCCTTTAAAGGAACCCCAAGCCCCCTCATCTTTAAGTAAACGACGAATCCTTGCGAAGATGAGTACCCTAACCTCCCCCCTTTATAGAATCCTCATAGATCCCTTTAAAGGAGCCCTTATTCTAGAACCCTTATAGATCCCTTTAAAGGAACCCCAAGCCCCCTCATCTTTAAGTAAACGACGAATCCTTGCGAAGATGAGTACCCTAACCTCCCCCCTTTATAGAATCCTCATAGATCCCTTTAAAGGAGCCCTTATTCTAGAACCCTTATAGATCCCTTTAAAGGAACCCCAAGCCCCCTTCATCTTTAAGTAAACGACGAATCCTTGCGAAGATGAGTACCCTAACCTCCCCCCTTTATAGAATCCTCATAGATCCCTTTAAAGGAGCCCTTATTCTAGAACCCTTATAGATCCCTTTAAAGGAACCCCAAGCCCCCTTCATCTTTAAGTAAACGACGAATCCTTGCGAAGATGAGTACCCTAACCTCCCCCCTTTATAGAATCCTCATAGATCCCTTTAAAGGAGCCCTTATTATAGAACCCTTATAGATCCCTTTCAAGGAACCCCAAGCCCCCTCATCTTTAAGTAACTTTGCGAAGATGACTCACACCGACTTGAAGCCGGAGAACATCCTCCTGGCCACGACGGAGCGGCTGCCAGAAATCCCCAAACTTCCTAAAAACCTAAAAACTATAAACCCTAAACCCTAAAAACTATAAACCCTAAACCCTAAACCCTAAAAATGAAACCCTAAAGCCTACACCCTAAACCCTAAACCCTATACCCTAAACCCTATACCCTAAACCCTAAACCCTAAGGACCCTTATGATTGAGGGTTTCGAGGACTTGGAGTGTAGGACTAGTTCAGGGTTTAGGGTTTATAAGGATTAGGGATTGCCCTAATCCTTATAAACCCTAAACCCGAAGCGTATGTTGATGATTTGATAGGGTTTACGGCCAGGGTTGAAGGTTTTAGTTTAGGGTGTGTTGTGTTGGGGACTTTGCAGGTTGTTGCTTAGTGTTTGCTAGCTTGTTTGATGTTTGTTGACGGTTGCGGTCGTTGTGGTGGCTGTGGTTGTTGTGGTTGTGGTTGTTGCGGTTGTGGCTGTTGTAGTTGTGGTTCTGGTTGTGGTTATCGTGGTGCCGGTGCGGGTGCTGGTGTTGGTGGCCGTGACTGCGGCCGGTCGAAGTCGTGGTCGTGGTCGTGGTGCTGCTGGTGGTGGTGGCGGCGGCGTCTTGGATTGTCAGTTCAATGTTTGTGCATTTTTTCGGCGAAGCTTGGGCTTCAGTATTTCGTATGAGGGCCTGAAAAGTTGACATATGGCTTAACCCTAAACCCTAATGGCACTGGTGTCTTGCGACTTCGGGTAGAACTCGCAGCTTGGAGCCCCGCACCCCGCAAAAGCAACCTAAACCCTTGACCCCTCTACATGATGAGGCCTAGAAACCAAACGCTAAAAGGACCACAACTTAGTTCATGTCTTGTGTCCAGGAGCTGCCCGCGAATTGCGACTTTCCTCGCGAAGCCGCATGGCAGGACGGAAGTGTTCTGTCAATATAGAAGTCTGATGTCGTGATTTTGTTTATACTACTCCCCACATTTATATCTGTATCATATAATATACTATGCATATATATATATATACATATGTAAATCAACATGCATATATATATATATATATATACACACACACATCGACTGACGATGCGGTTTCGGGCATAGGTTTAGGGCCTCGGTTTTCATGTTCAGCACCTAGTCTGTGGATCTGTCTAGCCACTGATCTCTATAGGTACCGTGAATGGCAGGTTGCAGTGCAGCAAACCCAAGAAAGTTGGAAACTGGATTAAGGCCAAATCGTGCCGGGATTCCCTGCAGATTACTCTTAAGGATGGAGGCTATGGGGTTTCCAACTTTTGGGCTTCTACTGTATGTAGACGGTTCAAAGAATTATGATACAGACAATCTACCTTTTTGGGACTTCATAATTATAAGGTAATCCCAAAAAGGAACTACTTTGGGGCCTATGGGTATGCCTTGGTATATATTTCGTTTAATAGTTACACAATGACTGGGGCTTCCATGCTTAGTCATATGCCATGCTTCAATCAGGGGCTCCTCTTCGGGCCACAGCATGGACGGCTGCCGACAGAAAGGCAGAGAACAAGAGGAAGAAGGAAACCCCATCCGGGTCTGCGAGGGAGGATCAAACTGCGTGCGTCGTAGAGAACCTCAAGGAGATGACGGAGCGCTCGGAGGCTGAAGAAGAGACAGTCGCCAAAGCAGAGGCAGGGTGGAGAGTGACAGAGACGGACCCTAAACCCTAAACCGTGAGTTACACAGAAAGGGAGACCTGAAGCCAGGAAGGAGTCCAAGAGCTGCAGAGCTGCCCGGTTTAGGGTTTAGGGCAGGGGCCAGCAGCCAGCTGAGATGCGAAAGCCCAAATCTTGACGGAAACGAAGCCCCAAACTCGAAGCCCATGGCTCTTGTAGTGTATGGGAGAATGTAGGGTTTCTATATTAATGACAAATTACTATTATGATCCAGGGAAGTGTCCTCCATAACAGTACATAGGACCCTTTGGGGTTTGTTGTTTTGCTCCGGTGGTCTGGCTCCGCACGCGGATGGATCTTTCTGCGCAAGCCAAGGCAGCCGTGCGGAAAGTCTAATCCTTAATAAACTTTGTATGATCACATGTAAGCTTGTGAACATCTGCGACTGAATTCGGCTCAGTAGCTTCAGCAGTGTAACCCTGTTACCTACTGTAGAAGCAGGCATATAACAAGCCCGAACCCCCGCGTGTCTACTTTTGGGCCTGCAAGGTGAGTGCGGCTTTGGGACTAGCTTCGTTTTGGGATTTAGTGCTCGTCTAGACTGGGCCCTGCTACATCATTCTTGCCTTGTAGTATTAGAGTATGTAACCCTTAACCTTTTTTGGGTAGTATAGTCCCTATATAATCCCTATATAACCAAAAAAGGTAACCTTTAGTTCCCCATGATACCCGACAAGCAGGCTTGTGTGTGTGGGTGACGGGATGGGCCCTGTGTGAGGAGAAAAACAAAGCCTCCGCCAAGAAGAGCGGTCAAAAGCACCTTCGGCAGACACAGACATATATATATATATATATATACATGTATATGTATGCACTCGGTGGACTTACAAAACAATGCACCATGAAACATGGCGGCGGGAGTTACAGTAATGCCACTGACACCCAGCCCCCGCGCAAACATATATTGTATCAGTAGCATGTGTTACAGCAAGACAAGCAGCCGGCATTATATACAGTCAGTAGCGGTAATGCGCCTGAACTAGCTCATTGCAGATCACAACTGCACCTATCATTCAGTACGCGGACAAGTAGGTTCTTGATTACTCATATGTATGTATGTATTTTTTGTATGTATGTATGCATGTATTGTAAGTAATTATCTGTGTATGTATATGTGTGTATGTATGCATGAAAACATACGTACATACATGCACACATGCACATATTCAATGTATGCATAGATGTACGTGGATTCATGTATGTGTTCATTTAATTGGTCATCTTTCGGTATGTGCACATATATGTTTGTATGCTCAAGTTTGTATGCATATAAGTATATATACATATACTGACTGTTTCAGGTTAACTTTGATTGTTTATGTATGTGTGCACTTACTGTGCATATACTCACTGACTTGCTATGCAATTGTGCATCCAAGTACTTGCCTACCTGTTTCCGTGCTTGTTCTCCAGTTTCAGATCACGCACTGCGTTGCACACAGACACACGCATCGGCACATTGATTTTGTTTTCGCGTGTTCGACCACGCCTTGTATTCACAGACACACACACAAACACACACACACACACACACACACACACACACACACACACACACGCACACACACACACACACACATGCGCACGTGAATTCCGCCTGCTGCCTGTGTTTTTTTTTTGTCTCTCTCTCTCTCTCTCTCTGTCTCTCTCTCTCTCTCTCTCTCTCTCTTTCGCATACCTCCTATTGTGTGTATGCATGGACCCTATAAGCCTCCTGAAACCTGTCGAAACCCAAAAGTGACTTCACAACGCCCTATACAAAACCTTACACACGTTGGTACATTCGGGCTAGCTTCAATCCCACAGTCTTCATCCACTTTGTCCACGAGCTCAAACCCTCTTGCCAATGACGCCGAGATCTTCGGATGAACCTGAACGAAGTCTTATACAGACCACTGCTGACAGACAGAATCCAGCATCAGCGATAATATAAAGGAGTGCACCATTGCTGCCACGGTTTAGGGTAGCTAAGGCGATGCAAGATTTTGTCCACCAGCAGCATTGTTTTATTACCAGTCTCCTATCGCGCTTATGTTAACTAGTTCTATCTTAGGGCCTTAGGGAGTTTTGTTCAGGTGCGAATGTGTTGAAAAAATCAAATGAGCGTGGCAGATGGAAGCCTAGCCCTAGCCTAATCATACAGCGTCCTGGGCTAGATGCAGGTATCTTCGACCACGGAGCAGCGAGATCAAGCTCATCGATTTTGGAAACGCGACGTGCGCATGGGATCCGTCTAACCTATAAACCTGGGAGGCTTTGGGGTTTCCAGGGTTCAGGTATCACAGATCCCCGTTTGTTTGGATAGTCTTGACATTGTTGCCCCTCTTCGAAAACCAGGTCTCCCAGTGGGATCTTCCAAAATCCCTTAATCAAGGAATGTACCTTAAATTACGAGCTAGATCCCGAACATGATCTAAGATCTACTGTTCAATTAAGGAAGAGATGTGTGAAGGCTAAACCCGAAACGCTGAAAGATCCATTGCCCAGACCCCCGGGAAGATCTAGATGGTGAAACCCCCATTTGGCATTTTCCGGAAACCACCAGAATTTAGGATCCTCTACCACGGCAAAATACTTTATAGAAAACACCCTTAAGGGATCTACTTTCTCCACATCTTACATCAGGCCTTAATTAAGGACAATTACGGAAGGCACGTTATATCCCAAAACGACTTCAGGTATATTGCTTAACTAAGGGGTTGTGGAAGATCTGGGTACTTGCAATTTATTTCCCTTTAGCTCCCTGAGAATTCTGAGTATATCAAAAGTTTTTGCACATGTAGTTTAGTACAGGTTACTACGTGGCGTGTTATACTTTAGTACTTTGTGGGGTCCTATGCAGGAAACCCAAATATGTGCGACAAAGCCGCAAGGACATTTGGATCCCAAATCAATATTTATTCGCCCTGAAGCGAACCCTAAACCCCTAAATCCTATCCAGGCCCCATAAGCCCTAAATTTAATTGGGGGGGTCTACTTTCGGTTTAGGGTGTAGGGTTTCGGGAAGGAGAGTTGCGACTAGAAGCTCTGTAGTCATTTTCACATCCGGCTTCGGCTTCAATGTTCGCGTCCGCTTCGGTAAACTTGGAGCCGAATTAAGAAAGCCTGGGTCTCTATTAGGGTTCTGTATATGGATCGAAAGTTTTTGGTTACAGGACATGGCTTCGGGCAGGCTTAGTTGTATGGGCGCGTTCTGTTCGATCCTTCCGAGGGTTTGTGAACATACAGCGCTTTGCAACAGGCCCCATCTTACACCAGCTAATGGCAAGACACCTAACCCCTAAGCCTGAAGCATTTGCAAAATGGGAACCTAGCTTTCCATGCTTCCATGGGATTCTATGTCTCCGAAATGAGTCAACTCCTATTCCTTTAAGTCTTAGACCCTAACACCCAAACCAAAAAGCCCCCCTAAACAAATGGTAGTTTCCCAAAATAGGGGACCCTAATATGGTACCCTAAATGGTAGGAGCCTTATTATAAGGGCCCCCAAATAAGGTACCCCTAATTTTCGGAAACTCCCAAATGGGTGGAGGTAACCTACCAGACCCAGGCCCTACTCGGAGGATCATGGGACTTAGTAAGTAAGGTTATACGTAATTACCTTAATTGGGGTTATAAGTAGTTATAAGTATAGTTACCTTAGTTATAACCCTAGTTACTAAGTCCTACAATCCTTTAAGTACAACCCTAAACCCTAAAATCAAGACCCTAGACTCTAGACCCACCCTAACCCGCAGAACCCTAAACGCCCTAAGCCCGATCACTCCCGAAGATGGAGGTACGAGGACGAGCACCACTCGTCCATCATCAATACGCGCCAGTACCGTGGGCCAGAGGCCTCGGCCTTCCCAGAGACTCCAATACTAGGATGCCCAGTAGTACCCTTATTCCCTTTTTGTAGTCCTAGGTTCCTTATAAAGCTACCCAATACCAAAAAGAGAGGCCTTTTTATTCTTAGGTTACTGGGTATCCTAGTCGCTTAATTAACTAACCATTGATATTGGAGGAGCTAAGGAGCCAGGGATGATGATAGTCCCTCCTAAATAAGGAGCCAAAGAGCCAAGGGAACCCCAAAACCACTGGTTAGTTAAGGAATATGCCTTAGGTTTTTTTTCGGGACCTTTAGGGGATGTATAGTGTTGAGGGTTTAGGAGACTCCACTATCCCTTCATTGTGGCAGGATCCATGATATTGGAGGCCTCGGCCTGACCCCACGCCTCTGTCAAAAACCACTTCTCATACTTATAGGTGTATGTATATGTAGACCCATAACATGTGTGTGTATATATATGTGTATATGTGTATGCATGGGTATACGTATACGAGTATTATACGAGAGTTTCCCGAACTTAGGGGTACCTCATTTTGGGGTCCTTACAATACGGATCCTACTATCTAGGCTGTGATATTAGGGTTCACTATTGTGGGAAACTCTCATACGACTTTGCATATGTATATGTATAATTCTGTATATGTGTATTCATATGGATACGTATATGTACATGTATATGCTGTGTATATGGTCAGGGATACGTATATGTATACATACACAGCTTCTTCTCATATGTATGCATACACTCAAACATGTTAAAACTTATATATATATATATATATATATATACATATACATATGATACAACCATGCGCACATCCATACATGCATGCCTATCTGTTTACAATATGTTGCAGATTTGTTGAATACTGCGTGTTTGTTGTTCCTAGCTTCTGACGGATTTAGCCTAGTGTAGGAACCTGATTAAGAACCCTTGGGCTTTTATTAGGGTTCCTGATATTATGCATTCTACTATTCGGGGCCTATAAGGCCAGGGTTTCTTAATCAGATTCCTACATTACCTGGCTCTGTCTTCCCCCAGCTTCTAAGGTGTGCCCAGAGATGTAGCGATGTTCGGGGCTTCGGAATCTTGACTTTGAAATGGGAGTTTCCGAAAATGGGGGCAGCTTACTTTGGAGTCCTTATAATAAGGGCCTAGTAGCTCATAGTAGTCATGGGAGTTTCCGAAAATTAGAAGTCCATTATTTTGGGGTCCTTATGATAAGGATCCTACTGTTTAGGAGGTTACGGTTTAGGGTTTGCCTGTACGGTTCCACTGTGCAAACCAATAGGCACTGCAGTTAGGAGGCTTTTTGTAGGCTATTGTTTTGGGGTGGCCGTAGCTTTAGTCATAGCTTTATGCTTTGAGTTTCAAGTACTTAGAAATCACAGACTGTCCAACATACTAAGCTACATTGCTGCGGTTTTAACACAAATGCCGAGCTTTAGTAACTTTAGGTCCTTCGGGGCCTTTGGGTTCCGGGTTCGAGAAAGCCCAGTCGAGAATTCGGAGAAGAGGTCTTTGGTCGGAAGAACTCGTCAATACTACTACTACTACTACTACTACTACTACTACTACTACTACTACTACTACTACTACTACTACTACTACTACTACTACTACTATTACTATTACTACTGCTACTACTACTACTACTACTACTACTACTACTACTACTACTACTACTACTACTACTACTACTTCTACTATTATACCATTATACTACTATACTACTATACGGCTGATGGACAAAATCCTGCATGGCCCATAATGAGGAATATACCCATAATTCCCACAATTTAAGGCCACTAAGGTAATGCAGTGCTTATATCATCAATCTGCTATAGCGCAGGCTTGGCCATCGCACGAGTTTGAGGGTTTAGGAGTCGGTTTAGGTTTCGGGGTTTTAGGTATTAATAGTACTAATAGTACGGTATACCCAAAATTCCTATTCCAATTTTTTAGGCCCCTATTCTACCCAGAGAGCGCAGCACCTTCAAGCTCGGGTTGCACGATTGGAAGCTACTTGGAGGGTCGGGGGACTTAGTAAGTAGGTATTAAGCAGACTTATAAGTTTTAAAAGGGACCCTACTTGGGATTATGGTACTTATAAGTCTCTAAAATAACTACTTACTAAGTACCCCGACCCTCCAAGTACTGGAAAACTTAGCCTGTCCCTGAGGGTCTGTGCACCTCTAGAGTATATGTTTAGGCCGGGTTCGGTAGAATTTGCTCTGTAAGTATATGGGCCCTTTTACCTTTGAACCCTAAACCCTTATGGAACCCTAGAAAATCCCTCAAGTACCTCGAAAGGGAACTGCTGTAGGCACATGGACCCTCAACCCGAAACCTAAACCCTACGCGCTGAATGCTTAAACCCTTGCCTTTGTAGCAGGTGCTACCATGTAGAACCCTGACAGGAACCTCGTAAAGCCACTTGGGCCCTTAGCCTAGGACCTAGAGTAGGCCCTTATTCCCTTTTTTAGGGTTCAGGTTCCCTAATAAGCCCCTTTAAACCAAAAAGGGCACCCTTTTTATTCCTGGGCTACTCTTAGGTCTAGCCACTTGGGCCCTTAGCCCTTGTAGCAGGTGATACTATCTCTGGGATGGAACGACAGATCGGACGTGTGGTCCATGGGGTGGCCTCCGCACATGGGAGGGTTTAGGGTCTGGGATTAGGGTTTAGGGTTTAGGGTTTAGGGGTGGGATCTACAGGGCTCTACTTGGAGGATCGTGGGACTTAGTTAGTAAGGTTTGAAGTACCTTGATTGGGGCTATCAGTGATTGTAAGTTTAGATACCTGAATTACAACCCCAGCTACTAAGTCCCATGACCCTTTAAGTGGGATTTTCGTAATACGTTTAGGAAGTTTGGGGTCTTGGGGTTTAGGAAGTTTAGGGTGCAAGGCTTGGGGTGTATTCTCAGGGTCTCAGTGGTGTTGAGTTGGACGACCCCCAAAATGCTCAGGGGCTTGGATCTTGGGTACTGCCCCCACTCAGTAGCAGTTGGATAATATTCATCATATAGATATATTAGGACCTCAATAGCCGCCCTATTATGGACTGTAGCTCTATGTGGGCAGTACCCAAAACATTCCCAGGATTCCTTAATATAGGTATAATCCACGCCAAAAGCCCAAACCCTTTTACGTGCTCACCACTTCAGTTGTGGCACAATACTTAATGGTTCATCGGACTTAGTAACTACTGTTACAACGGTTACAAGCAAGGTGACTATACTTATAATCACTTATAACCCCAACTAAGGTACTTATAACTGTACTTACTAAGCCCCATGAACCTCCAAGTAGAATTACCCCTGCAAAACCCATTCTAACTGGCAGGCTCCTTTTTCGTGGAACCCTTGTTGGGGTTTCCGAAAATGGGGAACCCTGATATAGTACCCTAAATAGTAGGATCCTTATCATAAGGACCCCAAAATAAGGTACTCTTCTTTTCGGAAACCCCCCTGGTACACCCCCTTAAAGGGACCCTGCCTGTGTTGAACGATGGAGGCCCACAGAACTACATAGGAGTTTCCAAAAATCAGGGGTACCTTATTTGGGGGTCCTTATCATAAGGCTCCTACTATTTAGGGTAGTATATTGGGGTCCCCTATTTTCGGAAACTGCCACATGTCCTTGCCTGAGGTAGATCCTGAACTTCTAGTCCACGACTTCAGTGCTATTTGGGGTAGTTCTTTGTACAGTTTGGTTCCTTTTGGTGTTGAGAGGTTTGAGTTCTGGTTTAGGGTTTGAGTGGTTCTTTTTCTGGAGGTCTCCAATTTGTTCTGCCTACCGTCGGGGGGAGTGGAGAAGAGTGTTGTCGTTTAATTCAGAGCTATCGGCTTGGTAGGGCGGCAAAGTTTCGAGTAGAATTTGGCGCTAGGTTTCAGGGTTGTGCAGTGTTATGGGGTCAGAGTTCCTTTATTCGAGGTTTCCATGCTGAGTCAGGGGTTGTCAGCTGAGAAGCTAGCCGCAGTTCTCTTTGGCCGGCATCCAACAAGAGTTCCTAGAAGCGCTTCTAGCGGGGTTTGCCTTTGTGGCTCCAGCCATCATTACAAGCCAGCTTTGCTGCTATTGGCTACCCTTCTACCAGGCGATGGCAAGCACAAGGGTAGCCCCTGCTAACGAGCACCGGCCTGCACCCTTGGAAACCCCCTTCAAGCTTTGTCGGCATGGCCCGGCACTACCTCCATCGCGGGGAGCAGCCGTGGCTTGAAATCGTTCGAGATGAAGCTGATGGACAGAATCCTGCATTACCCATGATAAGGAATATACCATAGTTCCCATAGTTTAGAGTCCTTAGGGTCATGCAGGATTTTGTCCATCAACAGTGGGGTTCAGGGCTGAGGTTTCCAAGTGGACAGTGCAATACGGTTTAGGGTTTAGGGTTTAGGGTTTAGGTTTAGGGTTTAGGGTTTAGGGAGAATCTCGAAGCTTAGGGCCGAGGTGGTTGTTTCTTCAGAGTGGTCTGGTCTTGCTTGGAGGTAGCATGCACCGCGTGGTTTCGGCATATGTACTCCGATGTTTGCGTCGCTGTTGATCATGTTTCTGGGCATCCGCGCACTGACCCATGCCTCATCTTAAGCACACACTTACCTTTGGTTAGTAGGGAATGGAAGAACGGCAGTAATAGTAGTTACAACTGTACCCCTTTCCTCCATTCCCTACTAACCAACGGTAAGCGCACTCCCCGACCGGTCCAGCCGGCTGCAGTAGCCCTTATCCACAGTCCGATCATGGGGTTCTGATCCCCCGCTACTTGCAGGATCATGGGACTTAGTAAGTAGGGTTATAAGTACCTTGATTGGGGTTATAAGTAATTATTAACAAATTAACCTGGATTAAAATCCAAGTTACAAACACCCATGATCCTTTAAGCACTTCGACAACTACCCTTCCCCACATGACTGAGAGAGACTTACAGACACTTGAACTAGGTCGCCAGCAGTACACCCTTTTGTCCCTTTGCTTTTGTGTCCCCCTATCAGAACCATCGAATTGGAAAAAGGGGAACCTAGTGAAGTTGCAAGGGGCTGCAAGCCCGAAACCTTCAAACCCAAAGCTAGATCAGATAGACTCCGAAATCGTCAAGCATATGCCTTCAACAGTGTGCTTCTTGGAAGATCAGAAAATTGGGCATATGAACAATCACTGAGCTTTGCGTGCAAGCCTGAAGAAATGTCGCGGAACAACTGCGACTTGAACTAAACGTCAGGCAACATTGTAACTACAGTCACAGTGCAGAGGTACCAAATGTTGTAGCAGTGTGGGAACAAGGAGTCCAACTAACGTGTTCAAAGCTGGTCTGAAAAACTCGCGCTACCCGTAGGCCCCATAGTAGTTCCGTTTGGGGCATACAGTATATGATTCTTAATATGAGCCCCCAACGGGAACTACTATGGAGCCTAATGATGGGTACTTGGCATGGTACTCGTCCGCCGGGCTGCCTATCATCAGTATAAGTATATACAGTACAAGCTGCGCCAAAACAGCATTCGATCACACACTAAGGCTCCTACAATAGCCAAAGGGCTCCAAGCGTGGGATCAAGGTAGGTGGTATAACCCCAAAATAAGAGTCCCTATGCTGGATCCTTCATCCTACCTACCTTCATCCCACCTTTCCCACCTTTTGAGGCCTCCCAAATAGTCCACCGGGTCTTCACATCGTGAGCATAAGGAAATGTGGACCCGAAATCCCGAAGTGGAAGATACGCCCTGCATTTGAGGACATCGCGCATGTAGATGTAGCGAAGATTTGACCCCCGCGAACATCGACGGGAGAATCTGAGTCTTGCTGTCAATGGTTGAGGGTTTGGCTTAGGGTTTGGGGGTCGTTTCAATGACATAGGTACTGCAACCTTTACGTCTTTTAAACTGTACCCCTGCAAAGCAGCGACAACGACGAAATTGGAGCAAGAGGTTGAGGGTATAGCAGCTGCAAGAGCAGTCGTACGAACACTCTGTGAACGGCATGATGCTCCAACGCTGTAGGCCTAGTTGAAATGCTGAATAAGGGTTGAGGGGCCTATAAGTTTAGGGTTGGGTTGTCAATCGAGGGTTGGAAGTCTCTCTGGCCGTCCAGTCCATTACGGGATGTCGAGCTCTCGAAACCTCTGCTCTAAGGGTCTAAGTACTCAAATCTCAGTGAATTAGGCATCAATAACCATGCAGAGGAGAGTTTTGAGCTTATTTTGGCATTTGGACCCTTAGCGCTACAAGAAATATAAACTCCTATGAAGCCTCACAGGAACGATTGTGCCAATGGACCCTCAACAAACTTGCCCTGCATTATGTCCCGGAGCATCGATCTTTGTTGGACCCGCAAGGGTAGATTTCGCCAACCCCGCTTCATTGAAAGTACAAAAGCTTGAGTGAATATAGGATAGGGTTCTGGGGTATACTGTATAATTTATATTTGTTGGAACCCTAAGAATTGTAGTGGTACCTGCTTCGGCTTCTACATTAAGCTGTTGTCCGGGCCTCGAAATATTGAGAGAGATGTGTGCAAGGGGTCACAAGGAACCCCAGCATCTCATGCTGTGTGCGAAGGCGCTATGGACCAGGTGGTGTTCATGTGCAAGTAGCGATATCGTGGTTGAGATGCGCTTTCACGCCCTCGTGGATCATGAGAGCCGCACTGGCATAGCTGCATGGCTGTTGATTGCGATGCTGACGCAGGTGCAGATCCTGGTGGTAGCGTGCTCCGGAGAACTGAACATCTTTGGCACAGATAGCTTAGCACACACAGGTCGAGTAGGCGCCAAAACATGCATGCAGCTCTGGTCTAGCGAAGTGTGTAGGTGGAGGAGTGGTAGGTAGTGAATGTTCCGTTTGCCTGCTGCATGACTCATCCAAACGAGGTTGTTTGTTGCAAGCTTGAAGCCTCGAGACGACGGCGAGAGATGGGATGCTGAGAATGAGTTTCCTGATATGGCATATCCTTTCGATGAGCTCACGCACTACTGCCGCTTGTCCTTTGCCCCTGATGAGGTCAAAGACGTGACGTACTTAGACAGGACCCGGCGGCCGTCGATGCTTCCGCTTTCGGGTTCCTATTGCCTGGTTGCAGGGCCTCGTGGAATGTCAGGCTACCATCCATCGGCAGTGGGAAGATGTCTTTATCTGCCAGAACGAGCACATGTGACTCTAGTACGATCTTCTGATGCAGGTGAAGACGCTCCTGACTGCAATGCCGCGGGATCTGAGAAGACTCTCCAAGTTGCTAGTCACTTCTGTCTCCCAAGCAGCAGTTTCTTGAAGCCTCCGCGAATTGGCCCTAAAGCGATGAAACTAAGATCGTTGACATTGCTAGTCGATCTCCCTCAAGACAGCATCGTTTGTACCACTGCATCAGCATCATCAGCATTGTTAGCAGCTTACTCAGAGCCTCCGAGAGGATGTAGAATCTAGACACTAGAACCACTCATTTCGAACCCTACTCAGGCCCTACTCTGCCACCAAAGGCTTTTTTTGCAGGAAGCCACAGTAGTGATCTACTTTCTGGATCCATCGAGCCTCTCCTGTAGTCACTACCCCAATCCCGGTACAGGGTCTATAGATTTGCAGCTCCACCCCCACCCTCAAGAAATGAGGGGTGTCACGGGCTTAGTGACTTGTAGGGTTTAGCGTTTTGGATTTCCGATTTGCGGGGTTGGGCTGTCGCAGTGCAGCTGGCGGTTTTAGCTGCTGCTGCTGCTGCTTCCTCTGCTACTCCTCCTCCATCTAGTACTGCTAACAGGTTCTGTTGCGAGAAGTGATGCTGCGGATAGCGCCTGTCGTCAGCTTCATCAGCATCAAATATCATCATCTCATGCCTCATCATCATCGCTACCTTTCGACCACAGCCATGACCCGTTATCATGTTCAACTACCATTGCAATTGTTCTTGCCGTCGCTATGTTTAGCCGGTCTGTTGCACAACCTCAAAGCCCGAGCCCTAAACCCTAAACGCCGAAAGCACGCAGATGCATCCTAAGCTCCTTGAACCAGCAAAATCAACTGCCTTCCCCAAGGGTCCAAACGATCTAGTGACTAGTGATCAAGTATTGGGTTTAGGACAGTAGTTTTGTAGGTTACTACGTTTGGAGAGTATATGATAATTAGGTACTTGAACCCTTATAGGGCTTAAACACAGATCCGTCTACCGTACTATACCCGAATCGGACTCTACATACCCTACACCCTACAGATGCCCACAAGGGATCCCTGAAGACACGCAGATGCATCTTGATGGAGCTCTACAAAACACTACAACCCTACAAACCCTAAACCCCAAACCTAAACCCTAAACCCCAAACCCTAAACCCTAAACCCTATAAACCTAACGCAGATGCATCTTGATGGAGCTCTATACTGGAGAGTTGCTTTTCGGCACGCACGAAAACTTGGAGCACATGGCACTCATGGTCCGGGTGCCCAGGAAATATCGGATTGAAGGATAAGGGTTTTGGGTTTAGGGATTAGGGTTTAGGGTTTAGGGTTTAGGGATTAGGGTTTAGGGTTTAGGGATTAGGGATTAGGGATTAGGGTTTAGGGTTTAGTGATTAGGGTTTTGGGTTTAGGGTTTAGGGTTTAGGGATTCCTTTTGAGGGTTCGTTTAGGGCAGGTTTAGGTCGTTTAGGGTTTCAAGGATGCGTTCAAGGATTTTTGGCGCGTTTAGGGCTTAAGGCTTACTTTGGGGGCTTAGGTTTAGGGTTGGGGGCTTGTGGTATTTAGAGAAATAAGGGCAGCTTTTAGAGGTTTTAGAGTTTGTGGGCTTCAGGGCTTTTGGGTTGGTGGTTGTGGGTTTAGGACTTCGAGATTTGCCTTACTCTAATCCAGGTGCTCAGGCCTCTTCATCAGGTATACCCCTAAACAGAGGCGACTATAATCCACCCCAGAATGCCATTTTACGTGCCAAAAAGTGTGGGGTTTGGCCGATCGTGTTGGAATGCAGGGCGTTGCCAAAACCCACTGTATGGGGTATACCCTATAAAGGACTGGAGATCCTGGAACCCCAGATTCCCCAAACTCTGAGGCCCAAAAGCCCAGAGCCCTAGACTTCAAATCCATACTTTTGGAAAGTTTTCAGGCTTCTATATTCGACTACACAACTACCCTCTATCATAATTGCCCTAAGCACCCTCTATTCAAGACCGAACAGGGACGCTACTAAAGGGTGTTTGGGGAGTCCTGGTTGGGTGTAAGTGTTCAGTTTGTAGCTGAATAAGACATATGGCACATATGGTGCCGACCCCTACTATAGTGAACCCCAGAAAGTTGGAACACTGATTTAGGATGATTCTTGCTGGGATTCCCTATTACCTTACTCTAAGGGAGAGAGGAAAATGATGTTCCAACTTTCTGGCTTCTACTGTAGTGTGAAGCGCACCGGCATGTTTTACACTCTTGGTCCTGATACTCGGATTTGGGGCTCTCCGGAACCTACTACGAGCTAGGACCCTGAGGATAAACCCAAAGCGACCATCCCCGAACGTCTTACACTTAGGGGTACTTAGAAATACTTTTTCGTTTTGGGTTATTATAAACCCTAAGAAACAGCTAAAATTATAAATTTTGCTAGGGTTCTACAGTAGAAGCCAGAAAGTTGGAAGATCATCATCCTCAAGCCCTTAAGGTAAAGTATAGGAAATCCCAGCACTAATCGTCCTTATTCCATGGTTCCCACTTTCTGGGGTTCACTATATACAGCCATGCTACAATCCTTCTCTACAATCCTCGCGGAACCCCGACCAGGTCGATCAACTTAGTAAAACAGCTAAAATGGAGAGAACGATAGCCCCAAGGTTGTTTTTTTGCCCCAGCTGTAACCTACTGACTAAGTCGCATGAGCCTCCAAGAGTGATACGTTTCCTTAGGGTTCCTATCATACCTTTTGATTACTCTGCTTTTTAGTATCACCCAAAACCGTATTCCAATTTCTTTGGCCCTTATATTGTAGAGAACCCTGCTCGGATCCATCCCTATCTATGCAAGGAATCCGTCAAGGAACCATGTGGGTGGTTGTCAAAATTATGGTCCCTTGTTGGGTCCCTAATATACTACGGCACCTAATATTTAGGGTAACCAAAAAGGGACCCTGATTGTGACAACTGCCCATATGGGAGTTTCCGAAAATAGGGGACCCTAATATAGTACCCTAAATAGTAGGACCCTTATTATAAGGAGCCCCCAAAATAAGGTACCCCTAATTTTCGGAAACTCTACACCCTCATAGAGCCCTTTAAAGCCACCCTTATACTACCCTTATCGTAACCCTTTAAAAGGAGCCCTTAGCACTACCCATGTATGAATCTTCTGGAGCTTCCCAGGAGAGAAGTCTTGGTCGGATGCCGAGTAAAATGCTTGCGGCCTCTCCGACCGCGGCGCGGGAGAAGTGCGCCGAAAGGTTTTCCTGTCTAAACCCTCAAATAACCTAAAACCCTAATTCCCCTAAAACCCTCAACCCCTGAAGCCCCGAAATCCCTAGTAGGGTTCGGTAGGTGTTTGAGAAGACGTCTATACTAGTAAATCAGTCGGTTTAGGGTTTTAGGGGTTTGGGGATTTACAGGTTTGCAGCTCAGGGCTTTAATCCCCAGGCCACACCCCGAACTTCCTTTTCGTGGAGGTACTTGGCGAGGGATCGATACGGCGACATGCGGCTAAATTGGCAGCGGGCTTAACTGAGAAGTCCTACTTGCCCTGAGGGTCCATGTGCCCACATAGAACATACTTTGGCCCCAGTGTACCTATATAGGGAGTACTTTAAGGCCCATGCATACACTATTTGGGCACATGGACCCTCAGGGCTAGCCGAAAGAGCCTAAATGCCGAAGCCTTGACTCCACAACTAAATGCCCCACCCCCCCAAACATCCCCAAACCACAGTCTCCGAACTGCGCACCAAAACCCAAAACGAACTTGCAGGGTCGGGGGACTTAGTAAGCAGGTACGTACCCGATAAGGCAAACTAAGTGGGGTTATGGTACTTTTAAGTATATGTTTCTAAAAATAACTACTTACTAAGTCCCCCGACCCTCCAAGCAAAACCCAAAACGAATACCTCCCTAACCCAAAGATATACGCCTCCGCCGAAACCAACACGAAGCTCGCACAGTCCGAAAAGTAGACCCCGGAGCAGCCATTCCAGACGCTTGATACTTAGGGGTACTTAGAAATAATTTTAATTTTCTGTTATTATAAACCCTAAGAAGCAGCTACACTTAAAATTGTTGCTAGGGTTCTAAGTTCAGTGTAGGATATAGGGGCCTTAACAATACCCGTATGGGAGTTTCCGCAAATTAGGGGTTCCTTATTTTGGTCCTTCTTAGGGTCCTACTACTTAGGGTATTATATTTTAGTCCCCTAATTATTTCGGAAACTCCCACATTATTGTGGGGGTTGTTTACTCTAGTGAAAACAAAAAATGTCTGAACAATGAATTCCTGACTGGGCTCCTGGGGTATTGCCCTCTCAATCGGCGTCGCCCGCCCCTTGCTGACGAGGGTTTAGGGTTTAATTGGGGTCCGTGCTCGGGCGGGGTTGAGGCGGAAAGGAGACCTTCTGTGCTTCAGCTGTGCAGACTGCATGGTGGGCCAATGCTCACCTAGCAGAGCCGGGATGTGGGTGCACGGCAGTGAGGTGGAAGTGCTCTGCAGGCTCTCGGCTGGAGTGCAGCGCAGGTGGGGTTTCGTAGAAGGCAATCCTAACGTTCCACTTCCATACCGCACTGGCTGATTCACTTAGCCCGAATTTTTAACTGGAGAGGGCCAGCCGGCAACAAACGGGTGGAAGCGGAGCCGTCAATCGCCTCATTCTTTAGGGTTTAGGGTTAACCCTAAACCCAAGTCCCTAAACCCTAAACACTAAACCGCACCTCTGGCAGCCGATGTGAAGGCCCCGATTCCTGCAGAGTCAGCAGTGGCAGGCTAGCAGATTAGCCATGCTCCCGGGAGGATCTGGAAAGTAGATCCCTTAATTTGGGGCCCTACACGACAAAGGGCATATAGGAAGCCCCATTAAGGGATCTGCTTTTTGGATCCTACCTTGTGGGCTGCCTATTATACCCGTAGCCTGGGAACCCTGTTTAGAGAACTTCTCCAAGGGTAAAAGGAGGGACCCTTAATAAGGACCCCTAGGTATATACCCTTAATATAGCTATTATATACCCATTATATAGCCCATTATAGGGCAGGGATCCCCATTAAGGGTCCCTCCCTTTCCCCTTCGAACTTCCCAGTTGAAGGCATAATTAAGCGTTGAAACCTCCAGGCAAAAGTCCTGTGGCACAAACCCCTAGTGGCCCTGGTGACCTACCCAGACCCCCTTTGGAGGATCCAACAAGTAGATCCCTTATTGGGGCTTCCTTTAAAGTACCCTTGAGTAGTATAGGGACCCAAAGTGGTATCTACTTTCTAGATCTTCCCGGGGGTCTGGGTAATGGTTATTCCAGCACATCATGTCAAGTCAACCCAAGTACAACCCACTTACTACCATTCAACTGTAGGCAATACCCGCGCAAACCTTAAATCATCCTAAACCACAAAATCCGGTACCCGAACACATGACCCTAAACCCTAAAGCCCTGAACCCCGAACCCCTGAATTCCTACACCCTAAACCTCAAAACACCGAAACCCCTAAAGCCTGAACCCCTGAACCCCTAAGCCCCAAACCCCTAAGCCCCGAAACCCCTAGACCCCAAAAACTGAAAACCCCTAAAGGCCAAAAAGCAAAGCGAGCTAAAGCCATATCCGAGGCCCACGGGCGCCCAATCCCCATCCTCGGAGAGACACGTTCGAAACCAGGCCTTCTGCCCGGGCTCAAGGGGCGACAAGGAGTTTTGGTTTCTTTCAAGGGCTGTAAGGGATTCGGGTTTCTTTCCAGGCTCTAAGGGGTTCGGGTTTCTTTCTAGGGCGCTACAGGTTTCGGGTTTCTTTCTAGGGCTCTAGGGGTTTGGGGTTCCAGGTTTTTTAAACTAAACGGTTCGATAGTCTGTTGTTTGGTGTAGTGTAGGGTTTAGGGCTGTAAGGTTTGATGGGATCTAATAATACATACTGTATTCGGTGTAAAGGTGAGACTTTCATGCTGCTCAGACCCAAACTTACCAAGGTATCTATTCAGCGACTGCCAGCGCAGGCAGTAGACCTGGTCAATGCCACCAGCCATGACCGAGAATGCATACCGCATACCTTCAGGAATATACCTCAAATTATCGTAAGATCGATCCCTTATATGATTTCAGACAATTTTTAATTTATATGATTTCGGATTATTTTCAGATTTGGGGTTCTTGGACCGCAAGACCATACTGCGTACGGCTTTTGGGCGGGCTTAGGGTCTTGGGTTTAGTTGTTTAGGTTTTGTAGGGATTTCGGGTCTAGAGTCTGGGTTTAGTTGTTGTGGTTTTAGGGTTCAGGAGATTCTGCTTAGGAATAGTATAGGGCTCGGCAGAAGTACGATTACTATTCCTTAGTAGGCTTTCTTGTTGTTTCTTTATTGTAATGAACCCTCAAATACTATTGTGCTTATTAATCAGGGGCAGCTTTTAGGGTTTGGGCTTTCAGGGTTATCAGAATTAATGCTCGCTGTTCGAGTACGTGGAGCCAAAAGTTCTTCAGAGCAGTCTGCCTACTACTATGTATTCGTCAGATGTTGTGCTGAGTTTGGCGCCTCTGTTTGTCACCCTCAAGCCTGAAACCCTAAACTGGGTAGGGCTTTGGGACATTTTATATTTTCCCTTATTGGGCTTAAGAGGATCTTACTTACTAATATTTTTCAAAGGCTTTATTTAAAAGCCCCAGCTAGTAAACCCTCTTCGCAGCGGTCCCGAAGTTCGGTTGCGGAGGGGTTTCAGGTTTAGGGTTTAGGGTTTAGGGGTTTAGGGTTCTGGGTTCTGGGTTCTGGGTTCTGGGTTTAGGGTTTAGGGTTTAGGGGTTTAGGGTTTAGGGTTTAGGGGTTTAGGGTTTAGGGTGCAGGGTCAACGGTTGGGGTTGCTGATGGCTGCATGAATAGTGGCAGCCTTGGCTTTGAATACCCCAATATGCCTTAAGGTGCACTCCTTACCTCATACTCGGCAGCCCCATGCAATTTGAGGAAGTTGCTCTTTCTTGGTTAATTGACCAGCCCCGATCACGAGACCGTTAAAGCTTAAGCACCCAACTTCCTTTCAAGGCCGAACTACGCCTAAACCCCTAAACCCCGAAACCCTAAGCCAAGAGAAGCAGCGCCTGCAGCAGACTTTCAAGAAGACCACCGACGTCATCGTCAACGACCTGCGGAATAATTCTGCGAGCAGGTCTACGACCGAGAGAAGGCCCGTGGACGAAGGCCAGTCCTTTCACGACTTTTATGTATTCGACCTTCGTATGTCGCTAGGCGACTAAGAACCTTCAAGCGATCTACCAGAAGGACTTGGAGGTGCAGCTGACCAAGCTGAGGGTCAGGTTGGAGGCCAGCTTCGATGAGCGCAGCAAAAGCGCAGGAGGACGAGCACCTGAAAGAGCTGGTAAAGCTGCAGGCGGAGTGTCGGATACGAAAGCGTCCAGAGAGTTCTGGAAGAGCTCCGCGAACGAGTGGAAGGCCAAGGTGCAGGACCCATGGGCAGACTCAGAGAGGTTCGCATGTTATTGCAGTGTGTGATTCTAGAAGCCAGAAAGTTGGAACATCATTGCCCTCATGCCCTTAAGGTAAGGTAGAGGGAATCCCAGCACTACTCATCCTAAATCTATGAACTCTAAACACTAAGTGGAACCGAACCCTAACTTAATCAACCCTCAGCCCGCATCCAAAGGCCCTTCATACTATTCCCGGAGACTCTTAATATCACTTAATTAAGGAAGCTACCTTAAATGATAGTCGGATCCCTAATGTCATTTAAGGAATATTCCTTAATTAAGGGATATTTGAGCCTCTGGGTTCCATCATGTAAACCCTAAACCCTTAAATCCCGAACCCTATTCCATGAAGCTTCTGCAGCTCGTGGCTGCCAGTTGCCGCTGGACCAGATGGTAGCGCCGCAGCACCAAAGCTTCGCGACCTTCGTAGGCCAGGCCTCTTCAACTTACTCCAGGGCTCTCAGGATTCCTTTTCTTTACCCAGACCCCGGGAGGATCCAAAATGTAGATCCCTTAATGCGGGGTTCCTACGAAGTACCTCTAGTAGTATAGGGCCCCAATAGGGGATTTACTTTCTAGATCCTCCCGGGGGCCTGGGTAGGGCCTGCTTGGAGGGTCGGGGGACTTAAGTAGCTGCTTCAAGCTGCTATGACCCTTAAAAGAAGGTGTTTGGGCTGTTGACGGAGTCTGGGTAATGATTCGCGCCTTGGGTTTAGGATGGTACGAATAGGCCAGTCATAAGGTGAGAGCATGATGAGTACGTACTTGAACCCTTCGTGCTTGGAAGGCCAGGATGGCTCTTGGGATCTTTTTGGGGTTATAGTGCCTTGCTGTATTTGTGCTTGATTAACCCAATTTTTGCCACCCTGAACGCAAAACACTCTAAACTCTAAAAACGAAATGAGCATGAAAGTCCTAAACTCCAAAGCAATCTGTCCAGACCGCAGGGGTTGGGTTGAAGGATAGAATTCGTAATCTATAAAGTAGCTGCCTTCAATGGCGTTTTGGCAAAGCACCCTTTAGAGGAGGGTCCCGCGTTGTGGATTCTGCTTTTCGGATCCTCCCTCTTTTCTAAATATGAAATTTCCAGGACCCTCCTTGTACCCTCAAATAGGGGTATATGGTCCCAAATAAGGGGCACTTAGGGCCTAATAGAGGGTAGATGGAGGGTCTAGGTTCTCCGATAGAGTGCAGTATACCAGCTGGTTGCCAAGTTCCGACCTTGCAGCCCAGACTGCTAGTGGTGACAGCTAAGAATTTGGGAGTTTCCGAAAATTCGGGGTACCTCATTTTGGGTCCTTATACTAAGGACCCTACTATTTGGGGTACTATATTAGGGTCCCCTATTTTCGGAAACCACCATCTAGGCTCCAGGGCTCTAGGAGCTTCGTCGATGAGGCGATGGGGTGCAGGCAGAGTGCCAAACGACTGAGTTCCAAGGCCGCCACTTCCATGAGTATTCTTATCCCTTTAAAGTAACCCTTACTAGGAATCCCTATAGATCCCTTTGAGTTGGGAGACTAACTTCACTTAGGGGTACTTAGATTTTTTTAAATTTTTTGTTATTATAATCCCTAAGAAACAGCTAAAATTTGTAATTGTTGCTAGGGTTCTAAGTTCAGTAGAGTATTGCTAGTATGACTTAAAGGGTCATGGGACTTAGTAACTAAGGGTTTTATAAGGGTTCCTTTCAAGGGATCTATAAGGGTTCCACAAGGGGGGGGGGTTAGGGTACTTAAAGGGTCATGGGACTTAGTAACTAGGGTTATATTCAAGATTTCTATACTAATATTTTCTAAAAGCCCCGACTAAGGAACCTATAAACCTACTTACTAAGTCCCATGATCCGCCAAGGAGGCTCGAATGCAAGGCAGAGTGCCAGAATCAGAATGCAGAGTGCCGCTGTGGGACTAGCTTCCCCGGGCCCTTGAAACTTTTTGCAATCCTCTGACCCCTCTAACAAGCCTCTCATGTACAAAGCCGTTTACAAACCCTTAACTCCCCTAACTGTTCGCTGAGTGCAGGTCACCTTCTGGCTTTTGATAAGGGAAGCCGCCCGACGTCCATGGAGGACTCGGGGGGCTGTTTTGTTACAGTGTTCTGGGAGGTCCTTTTGTAGGGGCTGTTGTGTAAACTGCTGTCAGGGATATTTACGTTTTCTACATTGTCTCGTACAAGGTTTCGCAAAACGTTGTATACGGGTCCATGTATCTGTATAGAACCTGCATTGGCTTATGTTAAGTATCTAACATAGGAGCCCATTTTCAAGTCCGAAGGATATAGTGCTAGGTTCCTGAGTTGTACCCTTCTGCAATTCTTTTGGGTTCCCTTACTGAATCCCAATAGTTGGAAAAAGGGTAACCTTCTGATTTAGGGGCCACTCAGGAACCTAGCTGAGAGTTGTTCTAAACCACCGGCTCCTGACCGTAGACTAACACCGCACTTTACTATTTCGATGCAGGTTTATGACCTGCTCCAAAACACGCACGGCACAAGCTCGTGCGAGAGCAAGGGCGATAAGTAGCGCTCACTTGGCTTATCAAGGCATCAAAGTGGGAATGTGGTTAAAACCTTTTGTGCGCAAGAGCGGGCAAGGGCGAAGCGCAAGGGGATTTTCGAGTTACGGGCTGGAGCAGCAATAAAGAACAACCCCCAGCTACATAGGAACCAGTTTCAAGTCCAAAGGCTGTACTGTGCTTGGAGGATCATGGGACTTAGTAAGTAGGGTTATAAGTACCCTAATTGGGGTTATAGGTAATTATAAGTATAGTTACCCTAATTATGACCCCAGTTACTAAGTCCCATGACCTTTTAAGTGTAGGCACATAGCCCATAGATACTCCGCCTCACTCTCGCTTCCTTACTACTGTAAGTCTTTCGAGTCACGAAAACCTCAACCTAAAAGTGGGTTCCGTTCTAGCTACAAATACTGCTCTTGAAGGTTCCTCAGTCCACTTATACCACAACCTCCCGAATGCACTAGCTTATTCATCGAAAGCGCCCATATATATATATATATATATATATATGTATATATACACATATATATATATATATATATATATATATATGTGTATCATAGAAACCCGACCCCGCACCCGGCCGTGTTTCTTGCCGGCGAGGCACTCAGCCACTCGTTCCTGAAGGAGCGAAATATTCCCGAGTGAATGAGGAGCAGGATTTCTGGTCAATCCGACAGGATTTCAACAGGCAGCCTTTCAAAGCCCTAAACCGCAGACCCTAAACTGTGGATGGCAGTAGAATATGTGGTTCGACAGGAAGCATTCTTTGGCTGGCAACATAGTATGGGGCCAGGCTTCTGAACAGTCCTTATCTGTATAGCAACATTTTCATATGTGTGTATACATATACATATACATATATATATATATATATGTATTTTTTGCGAATACATAAGTCGTTTTTAAAAGTATGTGTGTATGCATGCATGGATGTACGGATGTATGCATGCATGTATGTGTTTATATCCCTCACACCCATTGCCCTACACAGCTGTGGAAACAGATGTTAAAGATCTCATGCTATTTGCCTCAGCTACGATTTGTGCTTGAGCTGTGAAGTTGTACTTCGTAGCCGAAGTCAGACATTTCAAAAGCTGAACCTCCGCATCCCTGAGCTTTAAGGGTCAGCACCTAAAAGCAACCACCGCCGATTCGGGAAGTACATGGTCTTGAACTGGCATTTTCCAACCTGCAGAGTTTAGAGTTCGTTGCTTTTTGCGGTCCAGAGGTGTTTAGTGCTTAGGTTTTCTGGTGTCCTCTATCGCCGAACTCCACAACATCGCCACTTGAAGGTTCGGTGTACTTTTGACCCTTTGTCCGGAACCCTGCCTATACCCCAGTTGTAACCTAGATAAGGTATATTGGGCTTAGTTCGGCGGGTACAAGTTAAACTCCCAGTTTAGTTCATTGTGGCGAGGATTTTGGGCGAAGTCTCCTCCCAATTCCCTTTGCCCGACTTCGGGCTCAATATCTTAGTAATGAGTAGACTAGGTAACCGTGAACCTTTTTTGGGTGATTGTAGTACCTACCTTTAGTTCCCCAGGCTACTTGACAAGTAGGCTGTAAAGTAGACCCTTTCTGATGTCGATGCCACCTGTTAGATCTTGCCTCGGGCATGATTCTGCTCCTTTGCTCAGTTTTGGGACAAGGTGTGCTACTATTTGCTTAAGAACCCCCAAAAAATAAAAAATATATTCCTTATGGGTGTAATATAGGGATTATTGTTTTTATTTTTTGGGTGTTTCTTTAAGCAAATAGTAGACAAGGTTTGCCTCTCCAGCCTGATTTCCTGAATCATATCAGAGCTTCGCAACATATTGGTGGATTTTGTAGGAATTACATGGGTGGTTGTCAAAATTATGGTACCGTTTTGGGCACCCTGAATATTAGGTGCCGTATTATAATAAGGACGCAAAAAGGAACCACTATTTTGACAACCACCCACATGTTTGTCGTGTCCCTTTGTGTAGCTACAGTACAACCCCTAATCTAAGGGTCCGAGTACCTAGCCCTCAGATAAGACGTAGGGTTAATATCCAAGAGGGTCCATATTATAATAGGACGCCGAAACCACAATAGAGATGGTCATTTTGGGACCTAATTCGTTGATGGTAGTACATATGGACCCTCTGTTTTTAAACAGGCGGTTTGGCTTTCTCTTGGTGGCCGCATCTGGCTTTTCTTGGTTCACGGCTTATTGTTTCGTATAGATGCCCTAAATGGGTAGGTGTTGCTAGGCGTGTTGAGCATCTTCTGATCGAGCGTGGCTAGCTCCCTTTCATGCAAGGCTGTGGTGAAAGAGCTGAACATAGCCCACCCTGGGTTTAAGATCACGATTAGATCAATGGTTCTAGGATCTATGAAAGCTTGCGGGCACCCTAAACCCTAAACCCTAAACCCATAAGATCCTGAGCACGAACATTCAGACTTCACGCTTTGACCCTAAGCCCTAAATCGTAAACTCCTAAACCCTAAATCCCTAAACTCCTAAACCCGGAATCCCCAAACTCCTAAACCCTAAACCACTAAACCCCGAAAACCCTCAAAACGTGAAGCTTGCTTTGTCCCAATGCTTCTCGGCGCTCCGGATGCACGGCAGCCGCTGTGGTTGCGGCGGCTGTGCACAGGAATGCCGCGCAGAGTCGAATCTGTCTCAATGCAGTTCTGCTTGCCCAGACCCTTAAAAACTAGGTAGGGCTTTGGGACATTTTGTCTTTCCTGGGCCTAAGAGGATCTTACCTACGAATACTTTTCAATGGAGCCCCTCCTAGAAAAGTCCAAAAGATAGAATGATCACAATAAAGGTATGCTGCCAGTCTGTGGACTAGTTACATTAAGCTACCTTAACCTACCAAACCCTACCTTTTTGTAGGTTCTTATTATAAACCCTAATATGGAATTTATAGGGACCCTACTTTTTTGTAGGTTTTGGTAGGTTAAGCTAGGGTCTCGTTTCAGATTTCTTACGGTTGCGTTTGAGGGTCCGGGTGCCTGGCAGTGCGAACCTAAGGGATGCACTTGGTCACTTGGATTCGCATCGTGGGTACGGCCACTTGCAGTAGAAGCCAGAAAGTTGGAATATCATTGTCGTAACCCCTTTCAGGTAATTTATAGGGGATCCTACCATTAATCCATACTCCAATTACTTGTGCTAGGATGCCCAGTAGTACCCTTATTCCTTTTTTGTAGTCCTAGGTTCCTTACAAAGTTACCCAACACCAAAAAGAGAGGCCGTTTTATTCTTAGGTTACTGGGTATCCTAGTGTGTGGATACTCTAATGTATTGACACTGTCTGTATTTACCCATTCTTGCAGTACTGTTCCAACGAGCCATAAACGTACGAAAAACTTACGCATGTCAGAATAGGCACTAATTCCGCCCGCAACCATAGGTAAATACCCTACCCATCCCTACCTACGGTTAAGCTTACAGGGACCTATTAGCCCAAAAGCCGGCACTAAAAGCAGAGACTGAAAGCACAACAAGTGACCTCAAGCCTAAACCCTAAACCGAAAAACATAGCCGGAGGTTGAGAGGGTTGCTTTCCTTACTTGGTGCTCCCTGGTGCGCACTGCTAGCCACACTCACTCGTTTCACTTCCCCCCCTCTACCGAAATGGATTTGAAGATGGATCCCTCATTCACGGGTCTACATTAGTATTGAGGATCCATTTCTGATCCATTTGGGTGTCGGGGGCAAATGCCTATGAGACAAGGGAACATTGCTGAGCGCCTTGGTGGAATTCGCCATGATTGAAAAGATACCGAGACGGCCTTAATAATTGGAATAGGCTTCCTTTAAAGGGGTCTATAAGGGCTACTGATTTTAAGGGCGGTTATAAGGATGTAGTGTGGTCTTCATAATTACCTATACTATTTTGGGGTTCCATACTATAATTATAGTATAATGGGCCTCCAGACCTTTCTTTGATCACTAAGGCCCCTAGATTACAGAGACGGCTACAAAGCACATCCATGTATATACAGTATAGACTATGGCCTTGCCGTACTTGCATAGGTATCCCTTTACCGCCAAACAACTTAAACTCAACTCCTAAACGTCAGAATCCGTGAAGTTGCTGGCTAACAGACATGCTCAAGATTTCTGGTTGTACATACCATATTATATCTTGAGTCTTGAGATGCATTGCCTAGAGCTCTAACTCTAGCTAACATACAAGTGCTTATGAACCCAGAACCCCAAACTTAAAACCCTAGACCCTTCAGCAGATCCACTTCCCCCCAACCCCACGCTCTCAGACCGTATGTCAGGATACGTACGCTGAACAACCATCCTGTCGAATGAATTCCCGTGGGCGCACGCAAGTTTAGCTTGGTGCAGAGCCCTCAACCACCGAGCTTGTGCCAAGCTTGAACGGCCGGGGGTGAGCAGATGGACTATTTGTCAGCAAGTAGTGACGGTCTGGGGTTTTGGGGGTTTTGGCTTAGGGTTTACGGTTTACGGATAAAGAGCATTAAGGGGTGTGAGGTTGAAGAGTATAGAGTATTTTTGGTTGCAGTGAGTCTGGAAGCAGGGGGCGGAAGAGAAACTGCAAACCCCGAATCCATAAACTCCAAACCCTACACCCTAAACCCTTACACCCTTAATCCCTGAACCCTAAACCCTAAAATATGTTCTGAAGAAGTCTTCAACATCCGTTTCGCTATCCGGCTTGGTCGAACGCCGCTAGTGAGGACAGAGATCACCAGCGGCACCCGCCCGCACCCGCGTCATTGAAACGAACAAAAGGATCTTTTACTGCTCTGGTTTACGAGGCTTTCTGCGCAGTGTGTGATCGTCACACTCCAAACAGCCCAAAGTAATCCTCACTTGTAGGCCTGTAGGCTGTAGAATGTACCCTAAATCCCACTCCTAAACGCAAAAGTCTAAACCCTGAACCCCAAACCCTAAACGCAAAATCCTAAACCCTAAACCCCAAATCTCAACCTCCTAAACGCAAAACCCGAAACCGAAGTTCGATCGCAGAGGCCCGAGTAGAGTTTCTCACGGTTGATGATACAAATTCTGCACTATCCATACTTGGAGGGTCGGGGGACTTAGTAATTAGGTTGTAAGTAGACTTATAAGTGCCTTAAGAGGGAGCTTGATTGGGGTTATGGTACTTATAAGTCTCTAAAACAACTACTTACTAAGTCCCCCGATCCTCCAAGTACCCATAATAAGGAGCGTACCATAATTCTCATAGTCTAAGATCATTAAGGTAATGCAGGATTTATATCATCAGCCGTAGTAGCTGAGTAGGTATTCTTTAGCCTTTTGTATTTTTGTAGTCCTACCATAATTGGAAAGGTTAGCTTTTTTGGGCTAGGGTACTCAGCGGCGAAGTTAGGGATTGGGTTGGGTACGGCCCCCACTCAGTAATGGTTGAATAATATTCATAACATAGATATCTCAGACCGTAATAGTAGCCCTATTATAGACTCTTACTGTATGGGAGCAGTACCTAAGGTTTGGGGTTTAGGCTGGAATGGTTCAAAGTATCCGGCCGGGAAGATGGCTACCAGGCTTCGAAAATCCCGTAATTAGGGGATATACCTGAAGTCATATTGGGATCAACTTGTTTACATGTTAAGATAGCTTCCGCGCGTAAAGGATGCGCTTAAAGGATATTGAAGGATCTGGG